ATTATCATTATCATTATCATTATCATTATCATTATCATTATCATTATCATTCTCATTCTCATTCTCATTCTCATTCTCATTATCATTCTCATTCTCATTCTTATTCTTAAATATCTGAAGGGCACTACAACTGACCCATAGACACTCTGAGGCATAACTTGACAAGTCCCATGTGAATGGAGCACAATCACTAATAAAAGCATCATTGTGCTCCGGATTTGGTGTTAGGGTGAATGTAGACTTGTTAACTTTAAGCGTCATGGTGAGACTTGCAGTGGCAGTGCCCTTTAGATCTTTTCGATGTAAAGCTTTGAATGACATGCCAAGTGTTATAAGTAACACGTAAAAGTGTAAATGAGACGAATGAAAGAAAGAACCAGTATGTGGAATAAAAGTACGAGAAGCATATAAGCGAGAAGTGGTATGAAAGAGAAAGTTAGGCAAAAAAAATTATATTTTGATACGAAAAGACTCCTTCTTACTATGTTGGAGGTACTAGATTATAATAAACAAAAAAAAAAACGAAGTAAACTTGTGTGAACAAATGAGTGAAAATTTTAATTCATTTTTAACATTGACTTACAATTATATGGACGTCGGGTCCGCGCTAAAAAGTGTCCGAACTTATAGGGCGTTAAAATCGTATACAGAGCGTCATTCACGCTTTAGTCTTCGTTTGTTCGACTGACAGCGAAGCAAGCAAAATTAGACAGTACTGCGATGACATTACAATTTAAATTCAACGTTTTAGCTTTTTCATATTCCTTTACATGTCACTACGTTTAAATAGGTTGACCTGGGACATTGTTTTCGTGGTTTTTGTATTAGACCCGTCGTCCATTTATTTGTAAGTCAATGAGTTTTAAACCTAAAAGGTAGCTTAGTCTTCAAAGTCACACCTGACTCTACAATTACTATAAAAAACAATATAAAGCTAAACACACACTTACCGACTAAACTTTTTGTGTCGGCTGGCCTTATAGACGCAAGTGCTGTCAGTGGAGAGATCCTCAACGGAGTGTAAGATGGACGACGATCGGGTTGGCCGCAGGCGCAGTTTTAGCACGTCACGAGGTAGACCTGGTGACAGACAAATTTACGCTTTATAATAAGTAACAACATTTTCAGTTCTTAGGTTTCGCGATTGTTACACATAGGAATTACTATTTTTCCGGATTTAAATCGCGTATATCGACCCCTCCTACGTAAAATATCGTATGTCGAAATTGCCAAGTTTACAGGGGAGCGTTTTAATGTCTGAATTCACTGAAATGAACAGAACACGTGACCATTTCTCAGTTTTATTCGGCAAAGCTAGTTACCCACATAGGGTATTATAAAATCCTAGATATCGGTTAGATGAACAACCACAATTTATTTAGTAGGTATGTAGGTAGGCAATACTTCCATAGACGAATTCTTTCACAAGGAGGTCTACTACTACTAAAAAATATTATCTATAATTAGTGTCAAATAAGCGCGCTCTGAGAGGTAAACATTCTTTATAAGATTGCCATTTGCCACGTGTTTCTGTTGTTTGAAAACAAAAGAGAGCTACCTAACTCTCCATGACACAATCTTAATATACTCATTAAAGTTCTATTCAGTTCATTAGTGTCTATCGTTACTAAATGAAACTGGGTTTTGCCTCGGACCACTCGGTGACACGAGCGGTGACGTCATACGAAAGTCCTTATGAAAAGTTCTCATTAATAAACAACAAGATCGATCAGGCCTTCGACGTCGCGTGTCGGAGAGTCGTGAGTAATTTAAGTTAAGGTCATCCATAAAGGCTAAATTCCGACATAAGCGGTAACCTATCAGTAGTCTGAAATGACATTTTCTAGTATTAACGTTTGCTCGAATTTTCAAAACCTCGAAAATAATTTCGAGAGGAAAATGTTTTTTCTTTTAAACCTAACTTAACGGAACCAAATCGTGTCCTTGCGATAAACATCCAACATATCCTGAAAGAACAACTGTTTCGTTATAATTCGGTTTTCGGTGTAATGAAAATTCGAACAAAAGTTATTTCGGAAAAAAATTCGAGTTTGTGACATGTTATCGTCATAAGCACATCAAGACCACACTTTGTAGATCGCTTTTATCGGAAGCCACATAAATTTCGTCTCTATTTCTGGTTATATACTCGACGAAATCATCATCATAATACACCGGCCCGCACCCATTCTGTGTGTTTAACGCTTAAGTAAAATTCCTTCGATCCGGCAGGATTCGAACCAACGCCTTCAGTATACCGTGCCCGACGCTCTCCCAACTGAGCTACAGATCTTACGAATTTTTCTATGTGCTTGTTGCAAACATTTGTTTTTGAATTTTAAAGAAAGCCATATCACCATCTGTGAGAAATTTATGAAAGTTTTTCATCACTCAACCAGGTACCTTTACAGCTACCGCCGGCTGATTAGAGATTATTGAATATCACAATGTTTTACTACCACTTCGATGCTTTGTAGATCGCTCTTATCGTAAGCCTCATAGAGTCGAATTTAAGTTTTAAGTGTTTGCGAGATCAGTCCTTATTTTAATTTCTGTCGCCGTTAGTTAAAAGTGCGCATGTGACTTTTAAATAAAATATCACGTATGTAATATTAGTAATAATCTCAGTACAGAGTACTAAAAAATCCGACCTCAAAAGTCATTCATCCCCTAATTTGCCACCCTTAGAGGTGGAATATTTTCTTCAAATTTAAATGGAACCACTACTGAGATACCCTCGTTCCAACAAGCAATCATCAAAATCGGTTCAGAAACGCCATGAGTTATCGCGTAACATGTATACAAAAAAACACATTCGAATTGAGAAACTCCTTCTTTTTTGAAATCGATTAAAAAGGCCAATCAGTCAGTATTTTTATTTTTTGCCTAGGCGGATAAGGCATGAAGTTACCGCAAAGAAAGTGGATATTTTTTAATTTAATTTCTTTAAATATTATTTTCTCATAGTAATTTTCAAGTTTTTATTGAATGTCATGATGTTACAATTATTTTTTTATGAAATTGCTACACTAGTTTGTTATAATTGTTAATTAACAAAAATTGAACACTTAGAAAAAAAACCCTTCAATCCTAACAACGTCAATATAGTTACAAGAAACAGCTTCTACTCACCAACAACTCCTAGTACGTCCAAGCCTTCGCCATCTTCAGAATCCGATAACTGTGAGGGCTGCAATGGTCGTGCAACCTGAAATAATGCAAATATTAAGTACAATAGTCCTGCTTCCTACGACACAGTATGTAGCACATGCTACGACGTAGATCGTAGCGCTAGATACGACTCAGTTCGTAGTAGTACTTGTTAGAACGGAAAATTGATGGAATAAAACCAAATTGGCAAAATCACAAGTTTTCAGGTTAGAGCTTTATTTAAATACTTGGGACACTATGTTACCGACGACCTCAAGGATAACCTGGGTATACAGCGCTAACGGAGAGGACTCGCGGTGAGAGCAAACATGCTTGCCCGCAGGTTCGCCAGATGTACGGCTGCAGTTAATATAACATTGTTTAAAGCTAACTGCACACCAATGTACGCTAGCGCTCTGTGGAAGAGCTACGCTCAGTGCTCTCAGAAAAGCTCTGTGCGTGCAATACAACAACGCCTTCAGGACGCTGTTGGATCTGTCACGTTTCTGTAGTGCCTCAGCCATGTTCACTGACGAGCGCGTAGATAGTTTTACGGCTGTTGAACGTAAAAAGTCGGCGTCGCTTCTGAAGAGAACACGTGACAGTCCCAATAGCCTCCTTAAGACAGTTGCTGACAGGAATGAGTGCCCAATTATGCGGCACTTAATAAAGTACTAATATAGTTTTAAGTCTGTACCTACTAACATTTGAATGGATCTCGGTTGTCTCAATAAATAAATTGTATTATTATTATTACGTACTCTTTAAGGTATCGTATTTGCTACAAATACGGCCTGTCACGGTCCACAACACTTGCTATGGTATAAACTGTAGCACTTGCTACAACACAGACTGTTATAACGTAGTCTATTAGATGCTACGACGTAGACCGTAGCACTTGCTACATAATTTGTAACAAGTACAGGCTGTTATTTTTGTTTCTAGCTAAAGTTATGTGTAGATATAGTCTGTCTTTTTTGAAGACGGAGTAAAATGACAGTACATTGCGCAAAAGTGTTGCTCACTTGCGGGCAGCTAGTGATTGCAGTCAATAAATATTCTATCGATGGAATAATTGGCCGAGCTTGTCTCATTTGAATCATCCTCGACGCATTATTCATCCAATTCATCATCGTCATCATATACAGCCTGACTTCACCCACTGCTGGGAATAGGCCTCCAAGTTTCTGTGCTACTCCCCACGATCCCGTGCTAATCTCATCCAGGTTCGCCCCCCAATTCCTGCGATGCCCAAATTCATTTGATTTGCCAATTTTTGTAAATTTATACATACACTGTATTTAGAACTATGATTATGAGAAATACAAAGAGGAGACATATTTTAAAGTTTTTCATTTTAATTGATAATATAGATATTATCTATATATATATAGCTATATATATATAGATAATATCTATATTATATAGTCTATATAGTATAATATCTATATAGCTATAGCTCATATTCTTAATCTTCTCTATGGCATCTTATTCATTCCTCACACACCACCTTATCTTAAGGAGCGATTTGAATTCGCCCATCAATACAACCCCGGACTTCTGCGCTCTTCTTCAACTCTCCAACTTAAGATGCCATTGCATACCTCCCAGTATTACGACAAGTCCTTTACTGTTCAGGCTATTCGTTTGTGGAACGCTTTACCTTTGTCTATTCAACAAGCGAAATCATTGAATATATTCAAAAATATGGTAAAAGTACACTACGTTCATTTAGTGTGACCTGGACTGCTTAGGTATTTTTATGTTTTGAAATTAGGTTTTAGAAATTTTTATATTTATAAGTATGAGAATATATAGTAGTTTACGATATTCATATATATGTATTGGTTTTATTATTTATTTATAAATATATGTATATTTGTATTTATTTATCAATTTTTATCTGTTGATTAAGTAATTCTTCATACACCACCGTCTTTTTCCTATGAATTATATAATTACTTCCATCCAAAGGTTGTCTGGCAGAAATCGCTTAAAGCGATAAGACCGCCCATTGTACCACCGCTTATTTTTAATTTAATTGTATTGTATTTGTTTCCTTTTTTGGTGTACAATATGTAAGAATTTTTGTATTGTATTTTGTATAGATAATCAAATCCGCGTGTTCTTGTTACAATGAATGTGAATAAAAATTTATCTCGATACTAGAAGGCCAACTGTCAAAATAAGAATAAAGAAGGCAATAACGCAATTATAATCATTAGAGCGTCGTAACATTCATAATTCAGTCATTTTTGGCAAAATCTCATCTTTTTTCACAATCTACCGATAAAACTATCGACCACAACTACATAACTATTTAAATTTTTAGGAAAACTTGCAACCCTATATATGATATGTCATTTTACTCCGTCTTCAAAAAAGATAGACTATAAATAAGTTTGTTTATTTGGTAATGAACTATTGTTATACATTTTCAACAACAAAGACAACGATATGAAATTGCGTATCTATATAGCTATCTTTGTCGTTAAATCATAGCCGATATGTATGTAGATATGTCATTTTACTCCGTCTTCAAAAAAGATAGACTATAAATAAGTTTGTTTATTTGGTAATGAACTATTGTTATACATTTTCAACAACAAGGACAACGATATGAAATTGCGTACCTATATAGCTATCTTTGTCGTTAAATCATAGCCGCGAAAACGATCAAACAAAATATGTCGGGTTTTTGTAGTTTCTGTTTTTATATATTTCACATTATATTACAGTGGCGAGGCGTCCATAGAACTACGTTTCCCACCGGCTTGCTTAAAATTTTCTTAAATTATTTTTAAAATTTTATGAAAACTGGCAACTCTAAATATGTCATTTTACTCCGTCCTCAAAAAAGACAGATTATAGATGAAATATTGCAACCTAAGAACTAACCTCAATTAGACTTGGGTGTATAATCTCAGTAATGAGGTTACTCCTCTTTGGTTCTTCGCTGAGGAGGAGGTTCTTCTGGTTGAGAGCGAGTTCCGTGTCCGTTTGAAACAGATGTAGAAGACGGTTGTCCTTTATCGGGATCGGATCTGCTTTACCTGTGATGATTATAATATACATATTATTATGAAGAAACAGACAAGGGTAGATTGTGGACGAATGTGATCACAGGTTTAAAGAAATTGTTTTGTCGATGGAAAGGGTAGAATTTATTTTTAATACACGTGGACCCCGATTCAGAACTCTTCGATATTTTAACCGAATCGTCCGATTGAATTTCTTTTTTAAACCTAAACTGCCTTCGTGGCCGAACGGTTACCATGCCGGACTGCCACGCAGAGGACCCAGGTTCGATTCCCAGGCCGGGAGAAATATTTGTATGGCCTACATTTATGTCTCTCGTGAGTTTGGGTGTAATTTGTGGTTGTCTATGTGTGTGTCCATGGCACCCACGACACAGGGTGTCCCTTGTGCGAGGCTATGTCTAGTGTGTGCGTTATTATTAGTATTATTATTATTACCTAAGGCCATTCAGAATATTCGAGTTAAACGTTAGATTCGGATACGATATCGTTATCCAACAGCGTTTATGAAGTTAGTTGGTGAAATAGATGATAAGAAAAATGAAAATCCTTTTATATATATATTTTTAAGAGCTGTCATGCCAAAATAGTTTTGACATTGGCTCCGTCGAAATTTGTGAAACAAACATATGCCTGAAGTTCGCGTGACATGCGACAGGAGATGTTGAATTTTGCGAATTAAAAGTACCAAATTCGTTTTAGCGGAATAGCTCTAAAACTAAAGGGATTTAAAAAAATCCGTTGTGACAGTTGTCGATCATGCATAAATATAATTAATTATCTAATTTTTGTCCTAATAACCTGTAGCAATTCGAGGATGAATCGAAAAAATTTGAAAATTAGAGGTCATTTCGCGATTTTTTTCTAACGAGGAAACTTTATTGTTTTATGTTTCTGATTAATGTCTATGCTTGAATATGTCGTGTAGTTACTCATACAATATTTTATTATTAACTTTAAAGTGGATATACCCCTCTAAAATCAAATCGAAGATTAGGAATTTTTCCTCTGCTCCCTCTTAAGACTTTAAAGGTCTAAAATATAGGAATGCATTAGTCTTGCATTAAAATAAATTAATAAAATTTAAATAAATCCAAACTTTATTTAAAATAATAAGAAATTTCCATATTACATTCTTGCTTTCTGTCGTAATCGTACGGGTGTGACGTCATTCGGTTCGGTTTCGAATACGACACTTTGACATTCGATTCGGGTGTTGTGAATAAAAATGAAAAGAAACCGTACGATATCAAAACGAATCGGTCGACAACTTAGTTATCGTAAGGTTCTGGAATCGACACCCCGGTTTCAATTTTCTCAAGGCCCATGGTACCCGGAACACCCAAACCAGATTTTCTTGTGATACCTACATTGACTTACAAATAAACGGACGACGGGTCTAATACAAAAACCACGAAAAAATGTCCCAAGTCAACCTATTTAAACGTAGTGACATGTCAAGGAATATGAAAAAGCTAAAACGTTGAATTTAAATTGTAATGTCATCGCAGTACTGTCTAATTTTGCTTGCTTCGCTGTCAGTCGAACAAACGAAGACTGAAGCGTGAATGACGCTCTGTATACGATTTTAACGCCCTATAAGTTCGGACACTTTTTAGCGCGGACCCGACGTCCATATAATTGTAAGTCAATGGATACCTACGTAATACATGTAGGTATCACTAAATGTGGTAAGCTACACGCCTATCCATGACCGTTACAGTGACATTCAGAGCTTTAATTCGCATACATCTGAGGGGCACTGCACCGTCAACCTGACACATAAGTTGACAAGTCCCATGTGCCTGTAATTTCACCAGAACCTTTAGCCTTCTAAACCGAAACTCAATAAGACTCACATTATGTCGTGATATTGTTAAGTAAACTTACCTTCTTGAATGTCATGTAGCAAAGTGGTGTTTTCCGTTGTGGTGGAGGTAATAGGGGTGGTGCTTCTATCGCTCTGACAGGGAGGAGGACGGTATAGCGTCGCGGCTACACACACGTGGAGCATTCCACCACCTGAAGGAAGTTTACTTTTATGTATGATGAGCAGTGATCGAAACTAAGGGAGTTAATTTACCTAAAATATGAACATTTTCGTATTATGGACCATCGAGTATATAACCAGAAGTAGAGACATAATAAGGGCCATGCATTCCTGGTAACTCATCAGTGATATATTAATAGAATATTAATATACTTTAATTAAATGTTTGCATGTCGATAATGACTTATCGATAGATTATGCTACGACACTAAATAAATGCGCCATTTGTTCGTTCAATTTTTGTTTAGGTATGCACGTTCATTCCGTAGTTAGTCCTTTCTTTTATTTTTCTTTCCATCCTCTATGATATAAACATATATAAACTGTCAGTGCCAGACATTGACTTACAAATAAATGGACGACGGGTCTAATACAAAAACCACGAAAAAAATATCCCAAGTCAACCTATTCGAAATTTAAATTGTAATGTCATCGCAGTATCGCGCTGTCAGTAGAACAAATGAAGACTAAAGCGGAGTTTGGCGCTCTGTATACGATTTTAGCGCCTTACAAGTGCGGACACTTTTTAGCGCGGACCCGACGTCCATATAAATGTAAGTCAATGGTGCCAGATGTCGAATTTATCGTAAACATCGAGTATATAACCAGAAATAGAGACGAAATAAGATATTCCTGGTAACACATTAGCGATAAAGCTCTTATAAATATCAACTCTCGTTTGCACTGAAATAAAGACGGGCCAACAACTGACCTGTGTGTACGTCTCCGTACATTCCAAAAATATTCTGTATTCATTGTTATAAAGATAATATCTCTAACAATGGCGTGCTGTTGCATTCGGTGGTGTGGGGAAAAACAGCAAAACATTTAATTACAAAACAAACGGAATCAAATTTCATCGGTAATTAAATATTAAATATGTAATTTTGCAATTTTCGTCCATTATAGCAGAAACAATCCCGTCAATTGTTTTGAACTCGGGCTGGCCAATCGGAGCGCAATTGTCACAATAATGATATGGCAGAATAGTTTTCTAAGAAATTAAATGACATTTCGTCTCTATTTCTGGTTATATACTCAATGTTATAGACACACCCATTTCGTCATCAATGCGTCCAAAATTTCATTTGTTTACTGTTTGTTTTGTAAACATTCGAAACTACAAGTTGTCTCGTGTTGATTTTTTGAATGACTAAAGTATTTAAATACGTGAATACCTATAGAAATACAACTACTATATTATTTATTGAGACAATAATTTGTAGCAAATACTTAATAGGTAATCATAATTTGTCGCCAATCTGCTTAAATTTTAATAAATAATACGCGCATATTTAAATATAATCAGTTCCGAGAAGTCCCGGGAATCGTAGAAAAGTATGTCCACATTATTCTTTAGTTTAGCTGAATGAACTTCCTTAATTCCGACCACAGATTTTGAGACATCACAATTTACATTGCCGCGGAACTGTCGCTGGAATGCTCGAGCAGCCTTATACCTTTCTACATTAGTTTCGGTTATAGAGAATCGAAATATGACGAAGAAGATGAAATCGAATTCGATGTTAATAATATGCAATAACAACATTTTCACAGATAAGAAAAATGTTCTAACAAAACATTTTATCTTTATGCTGGTCGTAATTTACGGTTTTTTAACACATCATAGAGGGTTTATGATATGTGTGTAGATGAAAAACATGAGATTTTATTGTTACATTAAAATTTCGAACATCTTTGGAAAACAAAACAATTTGAGTCGACCTCAATTCTATTATATATAATATAATATTTTAATCCAAAGACACACCCAAAAGGAGCCAAGTTCCATGCAACCCAAACGTGTCAACGAGTTTATCAATGAGCATCGGGAACACGAAGCTGCCTGCTGCTGTTCCACTCACGCAAATGCCGTTTGCCAGAGCCCTGAAAGAGATGGAATGATTCAGTGGATGGAAAAACCTAGTGAACCTCTAAGTCTATAAATGAATAGAATAAAATAGAATTATTTATTTCATATCATCAATGTCACAATATTGCAATTCAAAATACAATGTCAAGGGATAATTGTTGTTATAAGAACGTCACTTGCGTTAGTGACGATCATATAACAACAATGTGCCTGCAATTTCACCAGAAAATTCGTGTATTTAGTCGAGCAGTTTAAATATCTCGGTCATCTGGTTACTAGCGATCTCAAGGACAATGCTGACATAGAGTAGGGAGCGAAGGGCTGTATCGGTCAGAGCTAACATAATCGCCCGCAGGTTTGCTCGTAGTTCTCCTGCATCTCTCTGTACATCTTTCTACACTTGTGGCCTGTGGGAGAAGTACTCTCAAAAGTCGTATGGGGCCCTCCGTATCCAATAAAAGCTGTGTTGGTGTTGATGGGAATGGAGTAGCCATTACTACAACGCCTCTGGCATATTCGCAGCGGCGCAAGTCACTGTTTCTACACGATCATGCGCACACGCGCATCGGCACTGGTGAGCAGGGTACGGGCAAGCTCCAACATTATTCTATGCATGTGAATACGGACAGGTTCGACTATCCGTATATAAACTGCGCTTGTCACTTGCATGTCATTGTTAACACTTAGATCTTATGTACTTTTGTTACTAACCATCTGTAGATTTTAGTCAATTTAATTTTTAATTTTAATTTTTTTTAATTCAGTTTTAATTATCTACATTTTAAATATAAGTAATATGATAATAATATAATTTGAAATACGAAAATATGGATTGTAATTATCTGAATTAAAATATTTTTATTTTGTTTATTTATTTTTTATTTACCTATGTTTATCGAAGTATTGCGACACGATGACAATGCCTGGTGTCGTGGACAGTCCGCCGCCGATGCCTGAAAGAGATTTTACAGGTTTAGCTGGTTGCGGACATTACTTGATCACTTTCGATATAAAACATCATATAGGAAATGAATAAAATCGCGTATATATTTTTTTTCAAACAAACTAATTTTTCGGTCTTAATTTTTCACTATATTCAACGTGGCTACTGAATTTTTGGACTTTTCTGTTTGTTCTGTCAATTAGTTAGTAATAATAATTAATACAAAGAACGAACACTTAGAAAAAATTCTTTCGATCCAGTTGGATTCGAACCAACGTCTTCAATCAAACCATGCCGGCCGGATCGCAGGGAGTTTTTAATGTTCGATCATTGTATTAATAATTATAACAAAAAAAAGGTAATTTCACAAAAAACATTCAAGAAACTAACTTAATTAGTATTTTTTATTTTTAAAACATTTTACATTATACTGCAACACAGACAGCCTGAAAATCAGCAATACTAAGGGTCGTATTCCAGAACTCTACTCATCTTTTTTGTCCACATTGCTGTTCTTTTGTTTTAAATGTTCGCTTATATTTGTTTATGTGTGTTGTCGATAAATAAATGTCTTTTTATTTATTATTTGTTAAAAAATAAATGTAATGTAACATAACGTACACACTCAACATAGCCCCGCACTAGGGAAACCCTGTGTCGCAGGTGCCATACACATACACATAGACAACCACAAATTACACCCTCACGAGAGAGATAAACGTAAGCCATATAAATTTCTCTCTTCCCAAGAATTTAACCCGGAACCTCTGCGTGGCAGACCAGCATGATAACCAAGCCACAGAGGCAGTTTTTTTTTATCTTTACCTGTCATAACTCCAAAGCTCAAAAGCAGATGGAAAAGCTGAGTGCTTAGTGACGATAGTATAAGGCCGGTGGCGCAGAATAAGCCCCCGATGAACACCACGAGACGGCAGGAGTACTTCTCGCAGAGTGCTGAAGAGAGTGGGGCTGTGAAACGATAAAACAATTGTGACAAGTCGCCGGAAATTGTCGTACCGCTGCATAACTCTTACTTTACTTATTGCTTATTTTACTTTTCATTTAATATTTATTTTACTTTTTCTGTACATATTTCTACACGTGTAGAATGTGAGAGAAGTACTCTCAAAAGTCCTGTCATCCTGTGACGATGCGACCTCGTCCATCGTAATCCTCCTTTTTGTCACCTTTTCTCTCGTTCCTGGCCACTTATTTTCAAATTTTTAATCGTTTTTTAATTCCTTTGCCTCGTCATTTTCACTTTGTTTTGTTCCGTCGCCAGTCTGTACCAAACTTCTGAAGCGAACACACGTGCAGAGAGCACGTGTGTTCTTCATCTTCATCTTCTTTCTCATAAGAAATCTGCGCGCAAAAGCGTTTTTTCCACGCCAGCGTGGAAAAAGTTTTTGGAATTCGAATTTGACGATGGCCTGAAGTGCACCTAAGACATCGAGTATATAACCAGAAATAATGACGAAATGTCATTTAATTTGTTCGAAAACTATTCTGCCACATCATTACTGTGACAACTACGCTCCGATTGGCCAGCTCGAATTCGAAACAATTGACGGGTGTCGTCAACTGTTTCGCTTTAAATCGACCAGTTAACTTGAGCTTTGCTATAATGGACGAAAATCGCAAAATTACATATTTCTTATTTAATTACCGATGAAATTTGATTCCGTTTGTTTTGTAATTAGATGTTTTGCTGTTTTTCCCACACCACCGAATAGAACAGCACGGCATTGTTAAATTATCTTTATTACAATAAATACAGAAAATTTTTTGGAATATACGGAGACGTACACACAGGTCAGTAGTTGGCCTGTCTATATTTCAATGCAAACGAGAGTTGATATTTATAAGAGCTGTATCGCTAATGTGTTACCAGGAATATAATATGGCCCTTATTTCGTCTCTATTTCTGGTTATATACTCGATGACCTAAGATTTTCTTTCGGTGAAAAAAATAAGACATAATGACACGTTCAACTACGCGATTTTGTTATTCATTATTTATGTAATATAAATCCGTTGGTATATTTTATTCTTATAATTGTTGACATTATTTTTCATTTTGTTTATTATAACTGATTTGTTATAAGTTCAACTGTTTTTCTTTCATCTACCATTTTCCTCGCTATAGTGAGGCGAAAAGTTGTGTGTTTCGCTCGGCAGCAAAGTTGTTTCGCGTCTCGTGCCTTGAAACCCTCGCTACGCTTAGGATTCTATTTTTGAACCACTCGCGTCACTCGTGCTTCAGTCTTAGATCCCTTCGCTTGCTCAAGTTTCAATACAAGCGTCAAACAACGACTCTGCAGCCTTGCATAACAAATAATGTTATTGTACGTTTGTTTAATGTTTGTATTAGATTTGTCTGAAGCTATAGATGGAAACCTGTAATTGACTTTGTTTCTTTTCCTGTTTTTATGAAATGTTTGAAGGTGTTGGTTTTCCATAGATAAATAAGTAAATAGTAGAATAATAACAAGTGTGGCGACACATGGGCAACACCACTAAAACGTCGCAGCCCGGCTTGGACGCATTGTTTTGAAGTCGATTAAATTGTTTTAAAGATCTGTGGTCTAGTAACCCACCCTGTCTTCGTCTGCATATAGCGTGTTCTCTGAACTATCCTCTTACCTAAGGCCAGACAAAGCGTAGACAAAGCAGCGGGAATCCAACTAGCGACGGACTCCGATGAATCGGGAAACGTCTCCATGATCTCGACGTACAGGACTCCATAGGACTTGAAGAGCCCAGCCACCCAGAACTGGACCATGAACGCTCCGAATACCACCACCCAGCCATAGCCACCGTCGGGGGGGCTCGTGCTGCTGTTAGGTGAAAAATGATTAATATCAGATATAGTCGAGACTAGACATGTGCGTAGGGCATGCAAAAACAGAGTGATTTTGAAAACAGGTTTTTTCGGTTACCCGGTTATTTGGTTTTTTCCAATATTTTTCTATTGTCACCCCAAATAATACACTAAAAGTGTCAGAAAACTAAAAAAAAATAGTGTTTTGCAGATTATTTTTATTATTTATGGAATTCACGGCTACGATCATATAAATCAACTTCTCGAATTATAATAAGAAACAAGTCAGCTACTAATATTCTAAAATAAATATACATATTTAGTAGAGACAAGCAATTAACATAATCATTCGTAAAATGCACTGATTCTAGTGGCTAAGTTGCTAAAACGGCAACACTGGTCAGGAAGGAAAAAATCAAGCTATATA